CTGTGATGGCTGGCAATGCGGAAGTTATCGAGTTTCGGCTTTGCGCAGAACGTGTTTTGTGTTAAACAAAGGGAACTAATGAACATCCGCTTCGCGTCAATTCCTACTTTAGCTATGCTGGATTACTCTTCAGATATTGCTATGCTCATTTCCAGCACTGGGTCCGGATCTAGCCCTCGCCCGTCATGAATCAACTATGTACTCGGACACCATGTAACGGCGGTCGTTTCCAACCAATCTCCAACCATTGCTGTGGAATATTAACTCATTTACAATAGACGTCTTCCATTTTTATATTCACTAATATTTTGATTCTCATGGTAGTCATAGTTTTGTATTCACCCATTATAAAGAGGTTGAGTATTCACCCCGTCATAGAGACTGAACCGGCTTAGATCTTGGACGGGTCCAACATATTCACTTTCCAACGTACCCAATATCACATCGCTACAGTTCCCTGGTGCTTCTACTTTCCCTTTGGTTACTGCATGCGTTATAGATAAGAAGAATACCATCATGTGTTCGATTCTATCGTTTGTCCCTCCATCTATTCTATCCAGCTGTATCGGAGCACATATGGTTAGCGAACTGAAACCCTTCGGGAACATTTAATCGCGGACAAGAAACGAAGAATTAGTTGCTTCGAGATATGAAAGGTATGTAGATCTCTGTATTCGAATGACCGCATGAACTGATCACATTCAGCGCCGACTAGGGCCATATGTGGACGACTACCCATCGTCTATGGGATCACAATGGCAGGAGGAGCCTTCTGTTTGCGGAAGTTAATGGCATCTGAGTCTGGACTTCAGGAATTTCCCCCTCGTCCTGCGCAAAAGGCTCGCAGGTCTAGAAACCCTCCTTTCAAAGGGTGAACCAGGAGTCTGGGGAGAAGTCCCGTAGTTATACCACCAGACTCAATGACCCTGGCTTATGTGCGCACCTTTGTTCAAATCCCTTCTGATCCAAATACATCTCTCATTATTCAGTGTCCTCCTATATTGGCACGTGCAGCCATTGCTCCTTTCACACATGCATGCGCTGCAAGAGGCCCGCGCACAAGGGTGACTGCCCCGACGAAGACGCAGAGCTCCTCCAACTGGCCGAGCGCGAGGGTTGGCGTCGTTGTTTTCAGTGCCGAAACATGATAGAGCTTGGAACAGGCTGCAAGCACATCACGTAAGTTTCTCATTTATCTTTATGCAAAGTCCAACTCTAACTGTATAACATTCAGCTGTCGGTGCGGAGCGGAGTTTTGCTGCACCTGCGGTACAAAATGGCGCCAGTGTCGATGCGAGCTTTGGGACACTATTGAGAAACTACTCCTTCACATGGACACATACAGACTGAACATACTTGGACAATCCAAGTCTATTGGATCACTTCCATACGCAAGTCCAATTCGGAGGACTGGGGTGGAATGCTCTGGAGGTAATAATTTATTACCACAGTGTCTGTGGGAAGTCTATAGACAGACTTTAAGACCCGCACATTTCTCAGCACAGCTGGATTTCCGGATTTCTCAACCAGCACCGCTGGCTTTGATGACCCAGCCTAGGCAGGCTGATATCTGAGCGAGATTAGAAATTCAGTTTTACACTCACAGGCCTTTCGAGCACTCTCCATGCGACTGAGAGTCCTTCATCTGACAAGTGTACGGGTCAACAGTGAACTATTTTGGCCATCACCTGAGGAAGACAGGGTCATGTTTGATACACTCCACTGGCCGGTGCTGGAGGTCATTACAATAATGGACACGCCCCCATATACAGCAGATGGTAAGTTCTGACGGCATGGTGGTACTCCTATACGTTATGCTAAGTGAATCAAGGAAATGGATTCTGGATGTTGATCCCGACAAAGAGCCATTGATGGAAATGTAAGATTTTGATGATGAGTGGGATTATGACGCATTGGGATTTGACGCACGGGGACTGATTAGAAGCGATGAAGTTGATAAGCTCTACTCAGCAATGGGCAAGGCTGCCCAGGGAATGCTGCGGCTGAGATACGAGTTCAGGTTCCGTGGTGAAACCACAGGCTGGGAAAGCTTGATGTTTAATCAGAATCCGGAGACACAAGAGGCTCGTTTAGTGATTAAGAAAGACTGGTGATATTCGATATCAATACTAGATGATATTCGATATCCCTACTATATAATATACATGCTGTTCAGGGTTATTGTGGAAATAGTGGCTATAGATAATGTCGTAGGGTCACCTGACCCCTACGGTTAGTCAGCCCACAGCTTAGCGAGCTGCCCCTATTCCGCGCACAGTTCGGCTTCCTAGCTAGGGAATCCAACCATCTCAACCATCTCCGTGCTACGGCTACGTCAGATAATACAAGCACATAATAGTAAAAAATTAGTTTTGGCCGGTTTTGTACATTCAGTCCGCCGTAGATCGTTTCTACCACGAGTCCACGACTGATCCAAATACCACGAATGAATTTTCCGGCCCCGAGGCTGTCCCGCAAGAGCCCACCATACAAGCTCAAGTCACGGATCATGCGGTCGGAAAGCCCTCGACTTCGGTTGCTGGTACACAAGCGCAGGAACCAGGTGTCATTTCATCCTTACAGTTACATTTTCCAGAGATGAGAACATTTCCATAGTAGTACCGGCTCTTGTTTTGTGGTGGAGGGAGAATCGTCAGTTAAAACTCTAACCTTTAAGTAATCCCGCACTTGAGATCATACCTTAATTTTTTTTCCAGAGTTTTCCATAGAATTCTAAGTATCTTACTGTAGTACCTCTCCTATACTGGGCACTCATGTGCTTTTATCCAGTGCAGCTGAGAGAACTGTCAAATCTTTTTCATTAAGTATCTGGTGGCAGCCCTCTATGTGCATCTTCATCTGCATCTGCTTTGGGTTGCATTTTTACAGTGGTTCAGTAGCCTCTCTCTGGATGTTGCTGATATTATTATCATCTCCGGATCACATTCAGTCCATCAGACCATTCGTAAGCTGATGATCTCCTGCTGAAATCTACAGAGACCATACTGACCTTAACTGTTCTACAGAGTACAGACTGAATGCCCTGATCAGCGTGACGGAAATCAATTCGCTCTATGATTCTATCAAGCATCAATTCGATTTCTTCATTTTCGACTTGAGATTTTGATTTCTTCTCATCGTCTCTATAATATTCGCATTCCCCTATTACGGACACGTCAATCACCAACACCTGGGTTGAATATACAGTTTGTCGTCGCATCGCGCCCCTGTCCAAGGGACCATGTCGGACCTGTTCTGGCTAAAGTCGAAGCTCTGGAATCGTTCTTGCCGGTCGACACCTTTAAAATCCTCTTCCCATGGGACTGGATTCGGAGAAAAGTCAGGATTGACCCAGATGAAACCCAATGCATCAGTATGCACATGCACAGGGTTCTGGCCGATGATTTCCGCAACGACACGTACAACTTCATCCTGGAGAATGTGGATTCATTCCATATCTAGTTTAGTATATAATCTGCGACATGGGGATTACGACTTCGTAACGCAACAAAGTATTGAATGGATATGCATAATTATTGAAGAATCCCACAATCAAGGATATATGCCTCAAGGATGTATGCCGTAGAAAACGAAGGATAATTACTCCATGATAGTGCTAGGATTGCTCATAGCATAAAATCAAAGGAGGATAACTGTTGCTTGTAGGACCGTAGGACGGGGAGAGAACCCGTATCTGGACTTCCGATAAATCGGGATCCAGGCCCACTATGTAATAATAGGTAAGATGGAGCCTTAACATAGTTTGACTTATGCAAGCGCACTATACCTACTAATTATAATATATATCGAGACAGTTCCTGTGAGCCCCATTCCGTTCTTTTCAGACTATGTGTCCATTGACTTATTGGTTGCAGTGGTGAGGCCATCTCGGTATCCAGTCTACTGCACATTTTTCCTGTTATTTATACTTATGTCCTCCTGGCGTTGGGTTTTGGCTTGAGGTGTCAATATTGATCCAAAAATACGAGCTGGCTGCTTTACCGAAAGCTCTGCATGTCAACCTGCCGACGCCATGCGTGCCTTGATACTGCACTCTAGATAAATAGCGTCAAGCCAAGGTTTGTAGAACTACTGGGCCTTCTTCTCTAAGACTGTGACCTCACTGATCCCAAGCTGGCAATCTTCCTAGCATCTGACCGTTAACCAACATGCTTCTAAGCAACCTCCCTTCTGAATCGATCATTATCTTTTCCGAGTTCCTCGAACCAAAGACCTCAATACTCTAATCCGAACAGCCAGCCGCTTCGCAAACCTACTGGGCCTATTTTGCCAATACCGTGGCCTTACTGATCCCTTGCTGGGAATCCTCCGGTGGACTGCTCCGAATGGGAACGAGGAAATAATCCGGAAGCTACTTGCACGCGCATATTACAGGTAAACCTGGGACAAATAGCAGCACTACGCCTACGACGTCCTTGTTTACAGGCTTGTATAGTGGTAGTAATGGGTCATCTTCTGTGAGTATCTCTGATTGAGGTATCTGTTTCTTACCATTGTGTTGTCGTTGCTGATACGTAAAGAAAGACACCAAGAGAAGAGTACCAATGGCACAAGCATACGCCCGCTAGACTCGATCACGGATGTCTCCCATGGAGGCCAATATATAAGGGTGTATCTCGACATCATGAGATCCAAACCGTCCCAGAATTCGCTATTGGTCAACGACCATTTCTATTCCTTGATGAAATGGTTCCGGCAATGCTACTTGGCAATGTATCACATACCTCGACGACGAAACGATCCGACATATCAATCCTCCAGGAGGGTTCCAGGCCGTTGTCCTCTCGCACTTTGCGACTACGGCGTCTCGAAAGCCAATTAGGACATGATTGGTCAGGCAGAGCTGACAGAAGCAGCCGGTTGAATACGCATCGCGAAATACTAATGATGTGAGCATTGAATTCCATCACAGACAAGCCGTGGTGGGACAAGAAGGCGCGTAGTCCATACGATCGACACACCCATACTGACTTGTTCAGATGTTTAATGCTAAAATCACTACCAAGTGGCGCAAAGAAATCCAGGACATCGGGGAAGATGTCAACGAGCAAATGCTAGACTGGATCATTGAAGAAGTGCAGTGGAAATCCACCATCTTCCCAGATGCAAAGCACATTGTCGCATACGACATAGGTGTGGTCAAGTCAGACGTTGACATACCAGAAGAATTACGACGGGTTCTCGTCTCCATCCAGACCTCCATAATCAACACCATGCCTGCCGAAACTCTGTAACACTTCCTTTCCCAAGGTCCATCTCCTCACTTCAGCCTGCCCTTGCTCGCAGACGACCAGGCAGCTGGCTCCAAGTCGCCGGGGGCTGTTCCTTTCCAGACAATCCATGTCTTGAATGCAGATTGGTTGAATCTTCCTTCGGAGCGGAAAGATGAGGATATCACTGCCTTCTTCCCTCAAGTTCTCAGAGAGAATCTGTGAAGAGACAGATACCCTCCAGACCGCATCCTTCTCACAATCCAACCTCACAAACCGACATCCTCCAAATGGCCAACGCAGGGCAGGAACGCCAGAAGATCCTGGCCACCCTCTCGCACATCTTCTGATCCAATACCGACGTCTCCCCAGGCATCGCCCACAAGCCCTACGGCGTTGATTGGATCAATCTCGAAAGAAACATGGACCGCCTGTGCGTTCTTCACGGCAAGGTCCGCGACGGCGACAAGGTCCAAAGAGGCTGTCCGTCCACTGGAGCAGATCCCCGAGGAGCAATGACGCCTAATCAACTTTATCCCCATTTCCACGATGAATGCTATCCGCCTCTGCCGTAATCGCCGTGGCTAGTATGAGCCGTGGACCAGTTGTTCTTTCTCCTACCCAGTGACCTGAACCTTTTATCCGCTTTGAAATGAGGGACACGGTCCAAGGCAATAACACCAGAAGTGTGCTAATAATAGCACAAGAATACGCCCAAAAGAACTAGAGAATCAATTGCCACTTGGGATATTTGAGGATCTTCTAACCACCAGTGTCACTTCATGGAAGCTAAGAGACTCATAAACCCCGAAGGTCAAAGTTATTGACCCAAGCATGTCATGAGACTTGAAGCCCACAACGATGCTGGAAACCAGCACATTGTCGTCAAGAACATTCGCGAAGATTTTCATGGTACTGGACACCGTCAGGGATGTCCGATGGTTCAAGGACATTATGCCAAGGACAAGTATACAGACGATGATTGTAACTCAGAAGACAAGCCGGAAATACACTGCTCCAACAACAAACATCTAATACCCTAGAAAGTATTCCCAAGGCGACAAACACAGCCAAAGTGACTTTCATGTTTGTCGTCTACATGTCAGGGGTCATTCGCGCCTTTCCCCTAGAGCAACGCAAGACTAGGAGAGATCTCTGTAACTATGCACATACACTTTTCTGATTATTCAACAAACAAAAATCTCGATGTCATGATTCTTTCATGCCAGATTTCGTCTGAGCATACAAACATTTTCTTTTCAACAGGGAAGTTGAGTATAAGCTCCTCATCAAACAACAATATCTACAATCCCACTCTAGTACTAAGACCATAAGTCTTCGAGAGAGCGATTAGGAACAAATTTAAGGCGCTCGCTGAGGATGAAAGTGGTTAAGAAGCCAAGTCACAAGGTATGAAGTGCGAGTTTCCCAACATGAGAATGCAGTGGCGGTGGCAGCAATCTTTAGGCAATGCAATCCAGCCCATTAAAGAAATGCCCTCTTTAGACAATACTGTTGTTGTGGGAACGCAAGTGTGAGGTACACTTCATCAATGGGGAATTAAGTGAAATAATAGTGATAATCGTCTGGCCGTGCACACTCGTCTTAGAAATTAGGATCTCAGACCTCCAGTCTGGTTGGAGGAGTGTCCCTGCAAACACCTCAGGGTTGGGCTCCTGAAGTCAAAGGGCGATTCGGGTTCGAGGGTATACGACTATCTGCCATCACCAGGACTGGATCAGCATGCATATCCAATAATTCTTCCTCTCACACTTACTTGGGTAAAGAGGACCGGATTTCTTGGTGTCCTCTTGGCTTCTTCATCCAGTTTGTCAGGACAATATGGCTAGGGATGCTCATCTCGTGCGCGGAAGCATGTTCCCGGTTTATGTGGTATTAGCCATGTGGAGCGGCCATTCGAAGCAGATACGCCCGTAGGGGGATTCGAGGTGGATGTTCATCAAACGGAAGTTATTCGGCAACTTCATATCGGTGCGATCAGGTAAGGTACCCTTCGATATCAACTTGACATAATACTAATTACTCAACCTGTCAGTCTGCGCTTAATGTATCTAAAACCTTTTGAGACATGACCAGAAAAAGAGGACATACCATATGCGTGTTCTCTTCGGTCTCGGGCGACATGACAAGGGTATCGAGAGGGAACCATTTACCCTTATATGGGAAATTGACCGGAAGACGACGGGAAGTGTTTGAATCTGAGTGCCGTTGGGAGGTTATTGGCTAGTATCGAAAGGTAACCATCGCCCTTGACTGGGAATTGTTAGAAGAGATGTAAGATAGAGAAGTGGAAAAGAGGATCTAATTACCCTTGCTATGTTGTTGACTAGTGAAATAATTAGAAAAGGCTCAGTTAATTGTCACTTCAATATGTTGATCTTGATCAGTGTCCCTGGCAAGGAGTACGTACGTACATGCTATCAAGTTATAGCTCTGACATTACATGGTAACTTCAATCAAAATGATACTAAGAGGGAAAAAAAATAATACTAATAATAATAAAAGAAAAATGATCGACAAGGCAGGGATTCGAACCCTGGCTCGCGAACGAATTTGGTTACTTGGTGGTACAAACCCCAGAATGGCTTACTGTAGTTGTACTACCATTTCGAGCCAAACGCCTTAGACCACTCGGCCACCTTGCCTATCTTGGAGATATATCTAGAACATGACTCATTATGACGAGTTAGGACCCGGCCGAGCGGCATCTCATTTCGACAAATCGGCCATTCACCTGCCTTGGCAAGGTTCGCTGCTGGCCAGCTACTGCGACCCCAGTCGTCAGACCATGTTTGTTACCGCGATGATGCACGTGAATAAATACATTATCGAGCAGTACCGCGCGCTAGGCTACACAGACACCAGTATCGCAGCTTAGACATCGGCGCAGATGGCTCTTCGCTTTCAGGTGCGCAGTAAATTCAGCGCATCTGCCTTTCCATGGAATCAAGAGTGGATTAAGGAGACGTGTGATTGGGAGTTGTATCCCATCTATCAGGTCTAGCAATGGGGGAAATGGCATATTGACCGCGCTCTGCTGCTCGGGGATGCCACACACGCAGTAAGTATAAGTAGGATCTTTTCATGGTCAGGATAGCATTGCTAAATAATCGAAGCACCTCCAGAATCAAGCTTGGCTTAATGTATTCTCCCACACAAACCGATTATCTTCAGCATCATAAACCCATACATGCACCGATACAATGCAGAATTCAAGCATCACACCGCTCTTGCCTTTGGTACTTGCCATGGACTTGAAAGAGTTATCATACGATCAGTCATGGGGCTCGGCTAGCCTAGAGAGGTAGTGGTATACAAGCAGGTCATTGTGGATAGTAGGTGCCTAGACCCTACCTTCTTACACGATCACTGGCTACGAAGCCAGGCGACGTCAACGCAAAATCAGCTCAATCATACTAATTAGTGATGAACAGCTCCCAACAGCTCCGAGTCTGACAGCGATGAGGAGATGGACGACGCTTCCAGCAGCGAGAGTGAGAGCGAAAGCGAGGAGGAGAAGCCTGTCAAGAAGGACGCCAAGAAGGAGTCTAAGAAGGTTGAATCCTCTTCAGATTCTGAGTCCGAGTCCGAGTCCGACTCTGACGAAGAGGAGGCTCCCAAGAAGGCCGCCAAGAAGGCCGCCAAGAAGGACTCCAGCGACAGCGAGGATTCCGAGTCTGAGTCCAAGTCTGAGAGTGAGGACGAGGCGCCTGCTAAGGCTGAGAAGGCTGAGAAGGTATGTACCTGTGGCTTGCAGTCTTTATAATTTTGTCTGACCGTCTCAGGAATCTTCTGGGGAACCTGAGGATTCTGATGAGTCTGAAGTCTCTAAGGGCTCTGACTCCGACTCTTCTGAGTCTGAGTCTGAGTCTGAGAAGCCCTCCAAGAAGCGCAAGGATATGCCTCTCTGTTACGCACTGGAAAGCGAACAAACATGAGTGATCGAGCCTCTACCCGATGAGTATGGTGCTGATATTGAACAGCACTGTTGCAAATCGATGACGCCACTGAACTATTCCATGTGTATGGAACAACCTCTATTGTTATCCCCTCATCATACCCATAACCTTACCGAAGGGTCCGTCGAGGTATAGGTGGACGCTGCTGAAGCCAGACTACTGGAGCTATACCACGAGATCAAAACGATAGCTCAACTGCATCTATCCCTATTCATGCCAAAGCCACCAGAAGAATGAGAAATACTTGTCGGTTCCCTGAAGGAGCGGGATGAGACATGCGGACAATATGATCAACAACACCCTCAACCTGTCCTTCAACATTCCGTGGTATCCTTGATTTTTGGACGCAGGTTTGGGCTGGACAGCAGCAATGCAGCACAACATCATCAAAGCTCTCCTCGTTCTCATAGATAGCTTCGCGAATATCGAACAGTCTCATGCCGTCAAGCATGGTGTAACGAACAAGAAGAAGGGAAGAGACGTATGTTGATGCATTGTACAATATGTCTTTAAAAGCCTATTCACTAACATTGTGAAGACCTCACAATATGATCCATTCCTGTAGGGACGTCATACGGAGTCAAGCCATATTAGATACCCTGCAACTATGGCATCGCCCCACGACTGGACAGAGCATCCTCATACCAACTCTCTCCTGCTCATTCCGCGCCGCATCCTGATTGTGGGCGGTGGAATCGCTGGTCTCACAGCCAGCATCGCTCTGGCTAACGAGCTCACACAAGTTGAGCCAGATCTGAACATCTCCATCTATGACAGTCGAAATGAACATTCAATGGGAGATGGAGGGTAATCAGCCTTAACCTAATCACTTAGCACCACTTGGATCAGCTTGCCGTCCTGGCCAAACTCTCTCAGATAGGAGGAGACACAGGGATTGAATTAGATGAAATTAATATCCACTCTCTCCACTCCGGGCGATCATTAGGTCTGTTATAATTTGCTGATGAGATTGGACGCAGTTATAGGGGCTATAAGAGCCGCTGAGTGCTTTAGAGAGCCCTCTTTCATGCTACACTGGCTGTGGCGCGCATGACAACGAGTTATCCAGCAGCAGCATAACTCAAATGCAGTGACACTTTAATTCTACAATGGGATGGCAACCACGGGGGATCTATTGCTAGGATGCGATGGCGTCCACTCAGCGGTCCACACGCAGCTAGTTAATCCTAGCAACCAGTCTGAAAATACGGGGATCTCCTTCATTCAGAGCCTGGCTCCTGCTGAGCAGTTATTGCTACCATCTCATTTCAATGAATCAGCCATTCATCTAACTCGTCAGGGATCGCTGCTGGCCAGCTACTGCACCCCAGTCATCAGACCATGTTTGTTGCCGCCTGGGAATCCGAACTATATTTCCTAAACTGCTGCTTCAATTTTTCATCAATGCAGTCGAGACGGCCAGCATCTGATTTTATATCAATAAGACTGCTACCACCCGTGGTCTTCCACGCCTTCAGGGAATCGAAAGCCAATATGGCATACTGCAGGACATCCCATGATATCATGATATCAGCCGCAGTTTGCGTCCCGTCCCAACAAGATGTTATTCCTATCATCATCTCGAATGACAATGATGGCAATCTCTTTCTTCTTTGAACTGTTATTGTGACGTCCGATAATAGAGGCGTGCCTATGATGCAGGTGTGGTCCTTTCGGATCAATGGAATATACCGCCAAGTACGGTCCATACCTACAAACAGTCCATAAAGATGCAACAGGCAGACTGGTTTGTCGAGCTTCGGAGATTTGCTATTCAGGACAGAATCGACTACGGAGTATCCGACCGATCGAGGGCGAGACATAGCACAAACTGAAATTGATCGTATTTGATCATCTCATCCCAAGCTTGGATGGGTTTCCTTATATGTATCTATGTTCCATTTTGCCCAATAATATCATCGAGTGGACAAGAAAGTGTTTGGGACTAGTGAATTAAATAGCTATACGGAGTAAGTGTCGGTGACGGCGGAAAGACCATGGTTGTGCGTGGTCTTTGGATTCAAAAGTGTGGTCTTTCCGCGCTGCGTGTTGGTGCCTTAAATATTTCAGGCATGCTATACCCGGTTTATTCTAGGGCTAATTCTGTGAGTTACAGAACTTGTTGGAATGGACATTTTAACTGGTTTGGTGAGGGCGACGCCGTCGTTGATCCTACCAGCCTTGATATATGATATATACCCGAGTTACCAGCAGATGGAAACCAAGGAGATGAGAACCCTTGACTTCTGAAAAGCTGCAGCTTTTTCAATTTGCTCGAGCTTTTCGCATTACGATACCTGTCGTAGTGTTTAGTTGGCGGGCGTCAGTGATGTTTCTGTCTGATCTATCTCAGATAGTATTAAGTTGATTATCTCTCCTTGGGCAACGCACGGGCTTGGCGACAGACATGGTGGAAGAATCCAGAAACCTACTCGGTGTCCTGGAAAGAATCGCGAACAGTGGCCTGAGTATAGCGCCATCTAGAGATTTTCTAGCCTCTCTGAAGGACAAGAAAGAGAACCGGCAAATGCGGCGGGACGAACAATCACCATGTACCGCAACTGTATCATTATGTGCCCGTGAAACCTCGTGGTACAAATATTGTTAAACCAAGGGAACAAAGGTCCACAACCAGACAAGCCTGCCAAAACAAAATAATAAGAACGAAAGTACCGGGTAAGGAGTAGGGAAGTTTGGTGATCTATAATAACACCATCATAGCAAAGACAGTAAATAAGCTTGCACCAAGGGGAGCCACTATTGACCAATTTCCTTCTGAAGTGGAATCAGATGTTGAGATTGAACGTCTAACTGATGCTGGATCAGTAGCAGTGCAGCTAACCATTTGAGTTACAGTTATCACTGTCACTGGGCTCACCATCAAAGGAATATGGGTAGAGCTCAGGGCAATTATATTGCCAGAAACATTGTCAGGAATCCGGCTAAATAATGAAGAGGAAGAAGCAACAGACGAGGAAGCAGACGAGGAGGAAGCAGGAGTGGCAGCAGAAGTGGCAGCAGAAGTGGCAGCAGGGCTGGAAACACTAAGGAATGGAAGATCTTTCTGTCCAATTCGGGTCGGTGAAGACCAGGGGAACTCTCAGGTCGCTGGAGAAGGCCAATGAGACTTATGGGAATCAGAATACTATTGAAAACATTTATCTTCAAACAGGGACGAGCAAATTTTGATGATCTTTCGAGCTGGTGGATTAATTTGCCTGATGACTCAAATAAGAGAGCAGACGGGCTAAAACACTTAAAGCGCAGGCCAAGAATGTTTCTGGGAAGATTTTGTGGAGCGGCAGATAGAATTAGGTAACAGTGTGGAGTGAGCGCCGCGCTAATCCAAAGCAGACCAAGCCCTAATCCACTCTCTGGCTGACAACGCCAGCATGAACAGCTCCCTCCCAGTTATAAAGAGTCGACGGTCCAACAACAACGAAATCACCATGAACTCGGGTAATGTCGTTCTCTCTGGTGGTAGACATTAAGATCATCAACTGGCATTTTCTGGTGGATTCTGAGTACAATTTCCGAACCAGCGCAGTTCTGGATTGGTTCAAATGAGCACTCTCGATCCGGTCTATTTAGGCTCTAGTCGTGATCCTTCTCGCGTTGGAAGTCAATGATCAGAACTAGCTCCAGGTAAACTTTGCAGTTATCCGAATACCACATCAACCATAGAGAGTGTGCCCTGCTTATTTGGCATGGGAATGGATTATCCGCTGAAGCTTTAGGACGATGCCTGAGTATATCTGAGAACTCCAGTGAAGTAAAGTTCTCAGATTTGATGCCCGCTGGATGTATTCCCCTTCTCCCTCAATCTACCGAGGGTCTGTAGTACTGTCAAAAGACCGCTATTTCACTTAGATAAAGATTTCGGAATGAATGGCAGTGTCAAGGGCGGAGTTCTTGATTAGGCCTATGTAAACTTCTGAAGCAGGCGCGACTGGCTGCGGCAAGTTGTCGTAGTCTAGTTGATCCGCGGCCTGCCGTGCTGTGAGTGTAAGCAGTTGTAGGTACCATTGTAAATAAGTAGATATCAATCTTGAAACTTCAAGAGTTACTTTATGTTTGTTGAAGAGAGTTAACAAAGTAAAAATCGGTGTCTGATAATGGTCTAACAAAGTTACGGTTGACTACAAGAAGAATAAGCTCATCTTAGCTTCGCCTGTCCGTCAATGGACAGGTTACTAGACTTCAGCACCACGGTGAGGTGTGAGCTTGTCGCTGAAGGCCGGAGGCTGAGAACCCCCGGCACCAGATTTGATTCCGGATTTGGGACGCATTAAATAAGGGTGTTGACGACTACTATCCAGTAAGCCGCTTAAAAAGGCGCCTTCTATCCAGTAGGCTGCTTATAAAGGGCCTACAATCCAGTAGGGTGCTATATAGACGGGCCTACTGTCCAGTAGGGTGCTTATACAGGGGCCTACAATCCAGTAGGGAGGCCATGTATAGGACAAGTCCTTGTTGGAATATAGTAAACTATTCCTTAATGAGACCTTGTTCGACTGTATCAGTCGTCGCGATGACAGGGTTAGCCTTGGGCTGGTCACTCGCGATATTAGTGATAGAGGACGGAGGAGATGATTCGCCATAAAAACTTGAGTCCAGAGGCACCTCAGGCCTGGTGGTGAGGCCAAGTCCCTCATCTGAGTCCTCATCTGACTCATCCTTCAGTTCCTCCGGTTCTGCAGCACCCCTTAAGGCAAGCACACGATTCAGCATCCACTGCATGTCAAGGAGCCGAGTATCAGGGAGGGGATGAGTCTCCGGATCATGCGTCTCAAGTGTGATGTAATCACCAGAGACAAGTGGAAGATTATTATAGATATTATGCAGAGCAACTGCATATTCTGTTGGGCAAAAATCTTCAGGAAGTTGTGGGCGAACACTAAACTCAACCCCATCTGAATGGTCATGTTTTTTCAGCCACCAGAACTGAAGTTTAAGCCACTTACCATGAACCTCATCCCTGTTAACAGGCTGAAGGGCAAAAAGCGCCTTTGTATGGAGCTGATGTGCATTATAGTTGAGGGTTATGAGATTTTGGATCTTTTCAGTCTTGGTAGCATCTCCATAGACTGCATTTCTCCACCCATCCACCCTTTCCTTACTCCAGAAATCTCTTAGCGCCCTGAAAAACCATTTCACACCTTGGGTATTCTCATTATTCATGCAATATGGGAACAAATGGCATGACTGGCAGAAGTCCACGTGGAATTTTGTAAGAATGCAGGCCTTGTCACGCTTCTTACACTAGGATACCATGTGGTTAGTGCTGAGGCAGTTGCAATAGATTCTGGTGGGAAGGCATAGCTTACTTCGTCCGCGGCCTCTTGAGAGCGGGGATCCTTAGTCTAGGATACCATGTGGTTAGTGCTAAGGCAGTTGCAACAGATTCTGGCGGCCAGGCATAGCTTACACTTTCCCAGACGGCTGTATCTAGTTTAAGCTTCTTCGCCCCTTTAGGCGTGCTCTGAGGGTCCCCTGCTCTTTTGCGTGACGCACTAGGACTTCCTGATGTTCCTAGCGACAGGCGTTGGCGCTGTGGAGTTGAGGTGGGAGGCTCAGATACCAAATCGCCTGGGCTCTGCTTAAGGGCGGGGGAGGACAAGAACAAGGGTGGTGGTGTATTCTTAGCTGGTGTTGGCGGAGCAGATGGAGCCCTTGATTGAGCACTACCTTTCTTTTGTTGCCCTGAATAGAACATGTTGTTAGCCGTACATAATGATAGAGGCTAGATGATGGCTAACAATTTTGACCTATGCAGCCCTCGTCCTCAACACGGAAGAACTTATCATAGATCCTCAGAACATCATGCTCCCCATTATCCGGGAGAGCTTGATTAACTAAAGCTCGTAGTTTCTCTATATCAGCAAGCCACAAGCACGCGTAACAAGTTGTCCAGTTTTTTATTTTCGGCTCATTCAAAGCGTTTAGTGCGTTGGCAATCTTGTTGATCAGCTCGACGCGCTCAGGCTCGTCGAAAGAAGCATCTGGCGCCTCGACGACGTCAGCAACCTTGGAAGGAGGAACTGGACCACTTGAGCTGGACATAGCTGATGGTACAACGTAATGAGAAGTAAGCTGTTCAATTTGAGTAAGCTTTGTTCAAAGTTGATTCTGTTGTGATGGATATTGATCAGCTGTTAGGATGCCCAGAAGAGTAGAAACATTTCCATGGTGACATGACGTAAAACCGGGCTCCCTCTCAGTCCAGTCATATGACCACCTTTTAAACACTACATGGTCCCCCTCCGCACCAGAAGTAGTTAGACGGCCCGGAAAATAAGATACTAGTACCAACGGTACCAGAACTCAAAATTAAGGTACGAACTCCGAGTACGAGGTAGGGAGGGAGTCTAGAACGAACCGAAAAATTAGTCAGTACATTAGACGAAACAAACACATATTATCACAATTGATTCCTTAATTACCCAGTTTATCATGGCCTTCATTTCATGCCTTGTGAGTCTGTGGGAATCTCATTGCCTTCCGGGCAGAGATCTAATGGAAAAGTTATGGAGTATGATCAGCTGAGGCAGACATTTCTTTTTCTTGCTGAACTATAACCCGCTATTCTTTAACTGTCTCTTGGCCAATAATTACTCCGTACTTAGGCGGAGATCTTGCGCCTGGGTCTGAAAGAAACCACATAGACTAAGGTACCTTAAGGAAGGAAGTATATGCTGTGGTTCATGCAGGCATCTTAAAATTATTATTTATATTACTGAAGTGAGCTTAAGGAATTTATAATGTTTTAGAGGCATGCCTGTTTATAAATCTGTAGATGATTAAGGGGTGATAACACTACTTAAAATGAGGGGTGTGTCTTTATTAAACCAGTAGTCAGACCAATATGAAAAGAATGATTAGAAGTTGTATGAGCAGATTGAAGATACCACAGGGTGCTTAGATTGCTAAAGCAAGACGCGAAATAGGCATTGATTGATTAAATAAAATACAGGTGTACTTTATAATTGAGAAATGGTGCAAACAAGCTTTATGGATGAGAGGTGTGGACTCTAAAACTATACTATGAGAGTAAGAAATGTTTTATCAAGCACAAACTAAAGACTTTAATTATATACATGAGTAAGCTCATCTTAGCTTCACCAGTCTATAGTCATAAACTGGTTACTAGACTCCAGCACCACGGTGAGGTGTGAGCTTATTGCTGGAGGCCCGGAGGCCATCAGAGATGACAACCAGGCACCTACTTGCGCAGGATTTTTTTTTATGAGGACACCATCCGGTGCCCTCAGCAGTAACAAGGACACTATCCAGTGCCGTCATAGTAAGAATCTCTCACTGAGCATTCTTTTCAGCCTCCATATCCACATCTTCATCCCAATTGAAAGGAGGACCGGGAGTCAGATTGACATTCTCAAGAGCCGGCCGCAGTGCCAAGGCTGCTGAGGGCTGGAAGGGCTGCTCCGAAGGAGCCTGCTCCTGCGTCTGCTGCTGCTCCTGCGTCTGCTGCTGCTCCTGCGTCTGCTGCTGCTCCTGCGTCTGCTGCTGCTCCTGCGTCTGCTGCTGTGGCTGCTGTGGCCGCCACAGCCCTGCTGCCAGCCGCTGTGCCTCGCGACGTTCCCTCGAGTTGGCGCCGTTCATACGAGGGCGCTCCTGACGCGGGCCCAGGGGATGGCGACCACCGACCTGAGGGCGGCTACTTCCAGTAGCGAGGACCCTGGTCTGAGGGCGGCTACCTCCAGTAGCGAGGACCCTGTTCCGACCACCGCTACGGGCAGCAGCGATGGTCCTTGTCTGATTCAATCCATCAGCTTGAACTGTTTGTAATGCTTGGGAGAATTAAACGCACCGTTGAGAGAGCAAGGTTGATGAGAACATTGCTGTTGACACGACACTCGTCCAGCGTGTGTCCCCATTTTTCACAACCCAGGCACCACTTCTTCCCCTATTATCAAAAGCCGGTGAGTATATTCCCACGAAAGATGCTGCTCCATGGACATACCTTCTTCTTCGTCACCTTGCCTGGGCCACGGTCAGGGGGACGCCGATCACCATCCCGGCGATCTGGGCGTTTCCCACCAGAGCCAGAGCCGGCAGTGGGCGCATGCACCGATGCGGCGAGACCGGGATGGACAGTTTGGACCTCTGAAGACATTGGATAAGTTATAGCTTGTTGAGCAATTATCCTTCTGTGTCAGTGGCGAGGAGAGAAAGGAGAGAGAAGAGAAGAGGAAGAGAAAATTTTCAACAGCTAGTGTTTGTGCGAAGGGTAAGCGATGGGCTCAGGTCCTGGCCATTCACTTTCGTCTGTGTAAAATGCCCGAGGTGTCATCACTCAACATATGGCAAGCACATAGTACAAACATGGAGCTTGCGAGGCTCTGGCCAAGGTCTTATAAGAGTGCGGTAACTCAGTTACTCATTCGTTCAGAAGAGCAAATGAATTGGCATAATAATCATATCCTTTAGACAATCATACTTCGTAGGAGGTGCTACAAGGCTTGATATTGCTATTCTGATGCCACAGAAAATGAAGACTAGATATCCACGTTTGGCTGAAGACTCCGGCAGCATACAAGTTCTGGTTATAATACTGTGAACATCGCATTGCTACTATTTCTGCTGCGCTACAAACGGTTGTGTAGATGCCTTTTTAGTCAAGAGGTAAAATGGTAAACGAACACCTCGTGCAGTCCCTCGCAATTGGGGTCGTGGCAAGACTCAACATCAATATACGAATATCAGTGACATATGACCAACGTAAATCTGTTCCGGCGCCTAAAAGGCTATGATGTACTGCTAGAACTGATTTGTCGGTCCTGGATACCTTGAAAATACCAAGCATAATTATTATCCAGTCTGAAGGAAATTATTAAGTGAGGGATCATCCGGCAATGTAAGTGCCCATGTACAATGGAATGGTTGAGCAAAATACAAGTGTACTCTACAAGAAGGGCATCCAATGTTACTTACACAAATATATGCGTTGGGTCATTGGACTCAATCTTTCTGTAATGCCACGAACCACTGAAGGAAAAATGATTAACAGAAAGGACCTCTCAGTCTCATGTACCGCAAATTATATACAAAAGCAAGCTTATCTTAGCTTTGCTAGCAAAGGTTGGAAACTGGTTACTAGACTCCAGCACTGCAGTGAGGTATAAGCTTGTCACTGGAGGCCTGGACGTTATCAAAGATGACCACCAGCCACCTACTTATCTAGCATAATTTTGGCGGAGTGCACATTGTTCCAGTGCTGATGATGGGGCTGACACTAAGGGTATATTATTGAAATCAGCTCAGGAAGGCCTAGATTGTTCTCAAATTCTTGAATCACAGGAAGATGCCCCTGAATCGCAGCAGGATGAACGTCAATGCTCCCTCGTCCTATAGATCAAAGCTTTGCGACTCTTGATGAAGCTATGGACTTTCTGAATAGCTTCATGGCTTCTCATGAATACGCGCTGACTACCAAGAGCTCCATGACGGAGAGACAGGCCTGAAGAACGTCGTCTATCTTCATTGCAACCGCGGAGGAACCTATTGTGCACGAATCAACGAAGCAAATCGCAAGAGAACCTGTTCTTCGCTCCTGACAGACTGTCCTTTCAGTATGATAGTCAATTATTCGAAAGGGTTCGATAGTTGGACGTTTGATATATCAGATGGAAGCTATAATCATGAGCCGTCACCTCTATCGACTCATCCAAGGCGTTGACGACGAGAATTAGAACGGAAGGCACAAGATATTGAGTAATAGCTCATAAAATCCACAAGGTCGTAAATTTGCATGAGAGTTTGATAGAAGCAAGGGTATCACGCTGCTGGAGAGAATGGAGCCCATGGAACACAACAATAGTACAAGCATCTTGTTGATAAGAAATGATGACTAGAAGCAAGACGCGAAGTGATTCTCAGCATCAATAACTCTTTTCGACCGCAGCAATCAGTCATTCAACGGGTAGTTATGTAAGATGAACCCTTCTCCAGTGCATGCTTTGGCGAGCGCAGATTTCAGTGTAAGAAGAGACGCAGCGTTTACAGAGCGTGGCTTGCCAGCAGTGCAATGAATCGGGCTGCGAGTGTTGTTCGGTCTGCTGGTGGTTGGCAAGGGGCCTCTGTAGACTGCCATCAATTTTATGTATTGCCTTTGCTCGGGAATGACAAGATGTCTTTCCACAGGCGGATTCGGTGGACGGCCAACTGCCTTTTTAAAGGGTAGATCCACCTGTGTTACCCTCATAGTTCTGCCAGCTATGTAGGATAAGTAACCTCAGGGTATTTCAGAGCCCACCATATCGCCACTTATTGGCAATGCCTGCCAGGCTCTGCTGGATAAAATGGTGTTTCATCAGGAGTTCTCCCACTCTGCCCTGGGATTCGCGTCTTCGAAAGCTCGCGGCCACTGGGGCAGGGCCTAGTGTATTTCAATATCAAGATATGGCGTGAAAAGTTGGGAAATATGAAAGGACTCCTGAAATGAAATCCATCCAATTCATTCACAAACATCATGACAAATCACCAATTCTCTGGTCAGGCGAGCAATATGCGGAGAATAATCGTCCCCTCTTGGATGGCTCCTCTGCAATGGTTGATCTGTAGGCATTCCCGGATCGCTTGAGTGTGATCAACATGGCCAGCCAGTATCCGCCTTCTAGTATTGGAACCAAAGATTATCAAGCCTCGGGGGCGGCCAGCAGGGTCGGGGAACCTCCCGCAAGCCAGAGAGATGACCAGTATACGCCGTAATCCATCCGAATTTGAGCACGTTCTATCGCAAGAGTACCAATACTAGCAGGCGTGGAGGCAGAAGAGGCAGAGGTCAGCCTAACACACAGGAAGATCGTCAGCAAGGTCAGCGAATAGCTTCAAATCAGGCACCTCGCGTACCTCAGGGCCGGCGCGGCAGACTCCAAGAGGCCCAGTATGCTGGATCCCTCAGGAGATGACAGGCGTGCTTGAATTTTGAAAGACGCGACTGATTGGCTAAGAAATGTACGTTCTAATGTGTTCGATTAGCGATTTGAATGATAGGAAACGCCTACGAGCGATTTTTGTATGGTAAATCATACCAGTGTGGCGTTATCCAGCCTGGTGTGGATTGAACCAGCCCCTAGCTATAATCAACAAAATCTCCTTACGCTTAATAGAAGGTCATCAAGAATATACTGCCTCTTACGCACAATTTGAATAGCTTCATCCCGATTGCATGCCTCAATCAGGAATTTATATCCACTGCGACATGTGAAATTTGGCGGATAAAAGCACTAGCCTGGCTAATGGCGCCATCCTATCAGCCACCCTCGCTCCACCTGGCTCTCAGTTCACAGAACGTGTGCGCGTCAAGTGATTCAACGATTATCCCGCGTACTGTCAGTTTATATTCCAAGCCAATGCCCTGCTGCCGTAGGGGAGGCGCTGTATTGGATTGAGTCTTTTGTTAATATACATGAGCAGCAAATTGCAGAACTGAAAGCCGCATAAGAGCAGCGGAAGTTCGCAATCAATGCCAAGTATTGAGCATTTGCTAACTTTCCCCAAAAGTCATTTCCGAAGCAACTGAACATCGGGACCTTATCTTTGTGAATGAGCAGTGGCATCTCTACATGGGCCAGAAACTTGAGGAGGCTCTTAACTTCGGCTTCGCAAAGCATGTGCATCATGATGATTTGGAGAAGAACGGCTCGCTCTCCGTTTACATTGCAGATTTGCGAAATAAGCGCCCGCCGACTCTACTGAGAAGGAGGATTGAAAAAGAGAATGCAGGATCCCCGGGGCGACACAGTTGGCATGCAAGTATCATCTAGTCCTCACTAAGCATAAGAAAATGTCGTTGCCATGGGAAATCTGCTGACTCTCAGGTGTTTACTTAGGGGCTATATGGCTTCATTATATCCTCCGTGAGACTGATCCTTTGTCGTCTGAACGCCGTGATAATGCTATGGAAGATCGAAGCCAACTCATGATCGCGCATATATATCCTTCTCTAAGTCAAATTCAGTATTTACGCAGAAACAAGGGAAGATGCATCATTGCGAAACTAGGAGAGTCGCCTGAGGTTGCACATCTTTGTCAATTACGTCGTTCAGACTGCTATGGACTTCGCCGACCCTGAAACCAGAGCTTGCATTGTGGGTGCTATTCGCCTAATCCTGCCTTCCATCCGCCAGATTCCCCATGGCCGCCGCATTGTCGGTAAAATGATGGCATTCGAAGGCTCTGGTATAGGAAGCACCGCAACAAACTGACAAGTCATCCCCGACAAAATAATCTCTACCCAGCTTCCGGGTCCCTTGCAAGGCCTATCTTGTATCAACATAATTCATTCCCTCCTGCTACTCTTGAGCCCTGTTTTGGAACTCAGAATTTCATGGTCGGCTCTGGCCGGCTCGGTCTCCAACAATACCTCCAGCGGTGCCAGTGAGAATTCCTCCGGCATTTATGTCCCTGCCGTTTTTGTACCAACATAACTCATTTCCTGCTCCTACTGTTGGACCCCACCTTGCAACTCAGAATTGCATGCCTCCTGCTGGCCGACTCTGTCTCCAATTTTGTCACTGGTGGTACGACACCGGTAAATTGGTTTACCACAGTTGTACCACCACTTCGAGTGACGCCCACCCTCCTGTGACACCTGGAAGATCATGATGTATGTTGAACCTCGGTGAATATTCCGTCTTATTGTCTGCTAATACTAGACGTGCAGGTACTCGGAGATCCTCAACCTCCACAACATCGACCAGAGTATTGACGCCGGTCAGGCGCTCATGGAAGGAGGCGTGGCTCAAGCACACCAGAAGCATCTAAAATGAAGCGCAGACAATTTTGTTTAATGAGATGATTTTCTTTTGGTCTGTATAGATGGGGAACAAGGTTATGTCTATTTGAACATACTTCATCCTTTTTATTCTTGTGTTCTCTCCCTTCAAAGCAGGCATATATATATAACCTGCTATTCAACCTCCTACTTATTTCGTCCTGGCGTCATTAGAGCCGAAGGGTAAACGCCTTAACTACGCGGCCACCTTGCCTGTTATAGTTCCAATTTTCAGGATAAATATTAAGAAGCAAAATTATCAAAAACTAACAAAGAAAAATGACAAGGGCTCCTTGCAATCCTTACCCCATCACTAATCAGGCTCGTGCTGAATACTTTGAACAGATCAGGCCAACCACCTACATGATTTCCTATACGAAAAACATCGTCTATATTGCCAGGTCGAGGAACTAGGGAGGCCCCCCAAAAATTAGAAAAAATAAAAAATAAATTTATAATAAAGAAGAAAGAGAAAAGCCCCTATGGTGTAAGGGCCACTAGTCTTAGGGGCGGCGAAAAAGGAGGAGAGAATCTTTCCATCTCTTTTAATCAACAAAGACCGGACGACGGCGCTCCCTAAGGAATTCGATTGCTATTCGAGGTTATAAGATAGGGATGCATAGCCTGCCCTTTATCTCACACCTATTTGAATAATATGAGGTCTTAAAAATTAAGCTATTATGTGGGCGTACTGAATCCAGGGCAAGAATAACCTGAAAGAGGAGGGGAAAAGGAGAAAAAAAAAAGGAATAAAGACACGACAAGGCGGGGATTTGAACCCCGGCTCACGAATGAATTCGATAAAGAGGTTATAAGATAGGGGTGCATAGCCTCCCCTTTAATCTTATACCTATTCGAATCGAACGCCTTAAACCACTCGGCCACCTTGCCTTTCTTGAAAGAGGAAGAATCGTTAATCTATTATCACAGCTGGAAAGCCACTTCTCTAGAATCAGCATGCTAGATGAGACATGTTATGGTGCTCATGGTTATATCATAAAGCAGGTCTCTTCCAGGTCTTATATGATACAAATAGTTATGATGCTAGTGAATAAATCCATTTCAGACAAGCATTTGAGCCACGGAGAGTGAATTTTTTATAGAATCAGAATTATTCTTCAGGGTATTTCCTTGTAGAGTGAATATATAATACCACACTTAGACAAGTTCTGTTCCCATATCCAAATCCAGGACTCTAATTCTACCTTTTCTGCCTCCTTACCTGCATAATGATGTGACTTGTACTTGTCTGAGTTCTGCTATTATCGTCGAATCAAGGGGAGACGTTGAGATATTATCTGCAAAAATGGCAGCGGAATCGAGCCAGTCCGATGTCCAACACAGGTGCCGATACCCCTACAGTCGGCTGATGCATGGGATCAGATTCCGCTGGGAAATGACAGGCTACCCAGTACCTGCAGACTGGAAAACCAACTTATCGTTAGTTAACGATCCCTAGAAATATCCCTTAAATAAGGAGGATCACTAACTTCACAGAGATAAATTTCGTCTAGGATTCTACACGATTGGACGAAAGATTAGGTTCAGAAGGCCCTCACTCGAAGGTTCATCTTAGTATAATCATTCCTGACCTTGAGGTCTCACTTAGAACCTTCGATCATGAGCCTACTTTCCTTACCTAACGAGGATCCTTACATTGAGGACAAAGCTGGTTCGAAGGCTGGGAAAACTCTCGGAAATCTGAAGAGTTCACTCAGCCTAAAGAACTGATTTTCAACGACGAACCCGCGTGAGGGTGGCCAGAGTCAGCGGACCCTTACCCAAAAACTAAAGGAATGGATTCACAAACCAGTACCTGGAGAGCCAGGCCAAGTGATCGTCCTAATAACAGGTTGTATGACATGATGATCGAGGAGATCAGGGAAATCCTGGATACGGCTGGCACTGTGCCGGCTTGAGGTGTTATTAGCTATGGATTTGCTGGTGCTCTACTGGATCATGTCAAAGCATCTCCTGATGTAGACATTCTGTCGGTTATTAGCCGGGCAGATGACGAGCTCAGCGTAAGTTCGATGGCTGTTCTACGATTGCTCCTGAAGCATAGAGCCCAGACCGAAGCGGTCGAGCCGTATCTGGGCAGACCTTTTTACTCTGATTCATATCCTTGCCCGAAATAGGATAGCGAGAGCCTAGGTATGAGCTGTCCATGCGATATTCTGACATCCTCAGTTCGTAACTTACAAATGCTTCGCTAGATGACATTACTAAGGGCTGAAGGCCTGCAACTGAACAGTGTGCTGTCAGCCGAAACCATGCATGTCAGAAATCAGACGCCATTTCTGCTGCGACTCACTTTACTTTGGGATTATAATAAAGCCCACAAGTGGTATGGATCGCTCCTCGTTATGGTCAATCTACGGAAGCCCTCAACCAAAAACTTATCCGGGCCACAATAATCCTATCAAAAAGGATGCAGGAGAGAAACCTGCTAATCCAAAGGAAACTGTATGCTGCAGTTGAAACACCGCAGACCCGCTTCAGTCTCGTCGAAACACCTCACCCTGGCATCAAACTCATGGACCATCTCAAGGAACATATTGCTCTAACTAGCATCACCGATGAGCCAGTGGAAGTCCATATGCTAGACAGCGATCCCGGAGCATTCCTGATTGTCATGAACATCATACACGGGAAAGGCCCAAAAATGGATTACCGCAGTTATACCACCAGAACCCTAGTTACTCATCTGACTTTAATATGTATTATGACCGCCGTGTTGCATAATCGGGTTGACTTTCTCGAATACCTTGTTCAGATAGTTGGCGCCAACCTCTCTGCCATAGTATCTCATGAATATTCACTATTGCCAAAGGCAGCATTACATGAAGCTGCTGAACAAGGGAACAAAGTCACTACACAAAGCTGCTCAAGCTAGGGGCGGATGTGAACGTGATTGACACTGGGGGCCTATCCCCGTTGCATTACGTGGTTTGGAGCCTCAACGCGAGGATGCCCCGAGAGAAGGAATTGCTATGCTAGGAAGCTGGCTGCTGGTATGACAGGATCAGTTCTGTCTCATTTTCAAGTCCATCACGTCCCATTCTCGAGTCCGCCAAGTCGACCACCATGACGGTAAGTGATGTTGTGGAATCTTTGAGATCAATGCTTAATAAAGGTAATATCACACTGTGAATCTTGTAAAATTTCCCGTTGCCCCGGAGGCAAATACTATGCGACAGTTGAGAACATGCTAATACTCATCACTGCTATGGAAGTAAGTTATCAAAACCAAAGCTACATCGTGATGTACTCTGACAGGCCCTGACACATCTCCTGTGTAGATAGTTTCGTCGAGAGAAAATCTCCTCCCTTCCTCCCCCGGCTCGAAATTTTCTTCCTCGCATCACCTATCACATGCCTCCTTCTTCTCCGACGCGCCGATTTACCGAGAAGACATCCACAATGCGTCTCGAACATTCAGTACGAGCGGATGAATTTATTTGCAACGAGAAATCGCCGAATCACAGTCGTCGGAGACCCGGACCAAAGCATTTTTGGAACCACATGGATTCCACATTGGAAGGTCTGAACACGACACAAAAGCCACAGTAACTTCGCCTGCTTCTATATTGTAAGTCTTCACTCCTCCTAGCTCAGCTTGATCCTGAGCTGATTCCCTGGGATGACACCTTTTTCGGTGAGATCCCTATATCAATGGGGGTGCTGCGCAATACAGAGGCTTGTGATTATGGATACTAACAACGTGGGTACAGCTAAAGTCTCCGTCTACGAAGAACACCACCAAGACGATCAATACGTCCAATGATACCAATACCACTACCACTAAACCTCTGGAGTCTCGCATATTCCACCCTTGTCCTTCCATACATGATCAACTTCCTCTGCGAGCAGACCGTACGATTGAGATGCTTAAGAGGGACAATGAGAGAGGCGAGGTGCAAAAAATTGTCGCATAAGAAGGAAGAAGACAACCCACCAATCCTGGGTGCCTCACGGCTCATTCTGACGCAAGGACCGGCGGACAGAATGAGATTGTCTTAGTTTTCTGGGTATTATTACCACTGGCATATGAATTGTGACGAGGTCCGCATTAATAGCCGGCCGACTCTTTCCAGAACAAGAGCAGAGACGAACGAAGACGGGACCTTCCGGTCAACCTACTCAGACCACCCTCACGCCACTATAATGTAGTGTGTATGTAGTACATTCAACCTACGGATTCGACGAGGCGGTAAACGGACGACCCAGAGCTGATCCCGACATTCTTCACCGTCATGGTAGAGCCCGACTCATCAGTAACCTTCATGTCGACGTACTTCGTTCTAAGCCCACTGCTATTCTTGAAGTAGTTGTAGTACTGTCTGGTGGTCCCCTGCGAGGTCTTCACGCCGTCAGTGCTGACCTCGAACTTCGATGCTTAAATTGATTGACAGAGTATACGAGAAGGTCGACAGTGTGGAGGGAGAAACACTTGTAGTCACCTGTAAGGAAACCCTTCATATTTTCTTGATTAAACGTTCCAGCCCATTAATCAATATCGCTTATCTAGACGGTAAGGTAAAGCAAACGTCCGAAGAGTATGCTCCCGGGGGAGCCACCGAAGAGGTGACCGCGGAAGCAACTGCAGCCTCTGATCCTACATTGGCCAACACCGCCTACACTGAACTCTAGGTTGGTCGGCTTGACGCTGGTGCTACAGCAACCAACGAGATCGACATTTCTGCACCTAAGGTCGCTCCTCCACCATCGAGTTTGGCTATCTCCATCTGGCCTTCTAGAAGGATTCAAAGAGCCTGTTTGGCAAGATCCTTCAATTCATCATATTCATAATCGGGTATTGATGAGGACATCCCTGCACGGTCGCAATCAGGCATAACTGCAATTAATTTTGCAAGTAATCTGCGGCGATTATGGCGTTCCTTATACAACAGCAGCCCATCAAAATCATTGTGGTCAGGCAGATCTGGTGTGTTGGACTTGGGCGTCAATGTCGACCCTTCAGGTTTCCGGTTGATAATTCCTGGTCTTCGTTTCGGAATCTCGACGTCMAATATGCGGATCCAAGTAGATGATTGGGTCTCCAAAGCTCACTGCTTGACAGCTAGGATTGGTGTTGCTCGCACCCATGACCCTCATCTATATTTGAGCCATCTTTGCTCTTTTTCCTGCTGCGCTACATGCTGCTGTGTACTTGCTTGGTTTAATTTGCCATCTTAACTTTCTTTTACTTCCTTCTTCCGTTTCTTGTGAGGTGTATTGACTCACTCAGAATCCTCTGCCTCCGACACACCGACATGTTCGCTTGAGCTACAAATACAAAGTCCCTCAGGCCAACGCCCGGGGATCCAGGCAGCCAGGCTATGTTGCCTGGGCTGCTGCAGTTCGCTTTTCCATGAATGCAGTCAAGGCAACCAGCGTCCGATTCTACGGTGATGAAACTGATACCATTCGTGTTCTTCTAGGCATTCAAGGAATTAAAACGAGTACGTCTGGATAACCACCCTTTTTCTTTACATACTAATGTTTGTGCGGAATAGGTGGCGGCGGGCATGGCCGGACCGCGTTCAAGAGGTACGACGAGAACAGTCGCTACATGTAGATTTCGCCGCGTCCCAACGACAGAATTCGATACACCGCATAGTGTAAAACGACATCTGCTTACATACATTAGCTAAGGCGTTTCGACGCACCTTCTTCCTCTCACTACCAGCAAGGGGCAAGACAAATATGATGCAATAGTACATCACTCAGCCGACAACAATTCGGCCACACCGGCTAGATAGTCCTCCTCATTGTTAATAACTATGTCCTCGCACCTTTCCTTTGCACCGTCTTCTGAAGAATGTCGGCTATTTCGACACATCCCTTCCCAATTGCCAAAGCTAGGACAGACGGAAAGGATCCTATGCGCTTATTGGGTTGCGCACCATGCTGGAGGAGAAACTCGACGACTTCCACGTTGCGAGCTGTGATGGCTACAGAAGGGGCGTCTCGCCAGTGTTGCTGTTCTCATTAACACCAAAACCCCGATCAAGCATCTCTGCCGACGGCGATGATGCTGTACTAGGCATGGGGCCAAGAGTGTTAAGCAACCATAGCTCCCATATATCTTCGCAGCTGCTCCCAGCCATCCCTCCAGGTGGCATTGTCATTCCCTCTTGCTGCGTGCTTGCACTGTGTCACGAGGAATGGCGTCCTCGTAGACCTAGGTTAGTTTGGCCAAACTACCCACTAGTAGCTATTCGCCTCCCAACTCGGGACCCGTCAGAGCACCCGCGTTTCTCAGTATTCCGAATACCGACTCGGATGTTGAGAGGTCGAGGGGTGTATGAGCGTTGTCATCAATGGCAAATATATCAATCCCCTTCTCAACAAGCAGCTTCACTGGTGGTATAACTACGGGACTCTGTCTCCTGCTGCGGGGTGTAAAGCTGTACAGTTCTCGCTGTCACTTACAGATATATCTGCTCTGTGATCCAAAAGTAATCTTATCGCCTCGGTGTTTCCATCGACACTGACCCAGAGCAAAGGAGTCTCGACTACTTCTGTCTGGGCTCCACGCTCCAGGAGTAATCGTAGAACAGCCATTGAGTTTAGGAATGTACTCTGATTCATTGTTTGTATCCCAGGCCTCATCTGCGGATGCGTCTTTGCGTTGAGGCTTCCAAACCGCATAATGCAGCGCGGAGAGGCCCGCAGTGTCAATCACGTTCACATCCGCTCCTAGCTCGACCAACTTTTATGTAGTAACTTTGTCCCCCTGTTCAGAGGCTTCATGTGAAGCAGGTCGCTGAACTCGATCACCTTCTCCAGCAAATTAGATATGACCTTCTGGGTGGTCCCAGGCCCGTATGGAGCTCCTTATTATGCCAGGTCCATTCTTTCTGATTCTGTTAACCATCGACATTCAGATACATCTTCTGGATCCTTTGAGTATGCGTGCCCATGTACAGGAATTAGGATCACCGTGTACGTGTTCGACATTCAATCAGCCCAGAAGCAACAAGTGAGGTGTTTTGGCGAGACTTTGAAGCGGGTCTGGGGTGTTTCGATTACAGCTGATACAGTTTCCCTTGGATTAGGAGGCTTTTCTCCTGCATCCTTCTCAATAGACGCGTTGTTATCAGTTTTTGGAGATGCTAGAGAGGTTGATGGCACTGGTTCTGCTTATACTGCTGGCTTTATCGGGCTGGTCTTGGCCGGGGCGCGTCGCTGTGTAGACAGGACTAGGACGACATCCCTAGAAGGATCGATCTCGTGGTAGTTATCACTCATACTATTTTGTTAGAATAAAAGCTTAAGGAGCGTGATGTGTGAAGAGGTCCATACTTGATGCTTACCCTTCTGAGGCATTGCTGTTGCTCTTGCTCTTTTGGTAAATGATAACGGAGAAGGTGAGAAAGACGACGACGATTGCGAGAATGTTGAAGAAGATGGGCAGGACGGAGGAGAGGGAGGAGAGGGAGGAGAGTAGATAAAGGAAGATGAGAGTGGCATGACGGGGGAAGGCAGTAGTAAGTGATGAGGATGTTGATGAAGAAAAGAGAAGCCAGAGAAGGATAAAGAGTTCTGGCTTCCTTGAAGAAGCTAACTTTTTAATGGGGAGCTTCTACTCCTGCGAGCCTTTTGCAAAGGACAATGGGCAATTTTCTGTTGCTTAAACCCATACTCAGGGGCCATTAACTATATGGCATAAACTGAAGCTTTCTTATACTGCGGCGTGATCCAATTGACGCATTGGGCAGTCGTCCACATATGGCCCTAGTCGGTGCTGAATGTGATCAGCTCATGCAGTCATTCAAACCCGGAAATCTACATACCTTCTCTATATTGAAGCAACTATTCCTTATTTCTTGTGTGCGAATTGAATGTTCCTGAAGTGTTCCAGTTCACCGACCATTGCGCCAGAATTTGTCGTTGATGGCCTTGAACTGAGAAGAAGCCTGCTTGTCCTCGCCGGTCCTGTCCGCTCGTCTGGATAGCGACGTCCTCATGGGAAGCTTTGACACAAGCGGTTCGTCGAGACTGCAGTCATCAATCGACTGCTTAATTGGTTGCCGCTCTTGCTTGCCTTGTTCCAGTTAATGACAGATGCCTGAGGATTCATCCGCGCGATGTTTTGTTTCTCTGCATCGGACGTAATGGATTCGCCGTCGCTATCGCTGTTGGACGAGTCAGAACCAGAGTTGGACGTGCTGTCTGGATCTACCTCTAGTAATGCTGCAGTGAAAGCAGCACCTTAAGGAATAAAAGTCTTGCACATCCAGTACTGCAGATTTGTCATTTCTCTGTTGTCTTTTTCAAGGATTTGGGTTTGGATCTGATGAGTTAGGGCGCGAAGAGTTAGTCAAGTTACTCAAGTGGCTGCGCTGGATACCAACAGAGGTGGTTCACTAGTCATTTTCATTATCAGAAGATCCCATCATAATGCCTCATCAGGGGTTTAGACACCTGTGAGGGGTCAGGAAGGCGCTCTGTTGATAAATGTAATCAAGAGAATGGTTAACATTGTGCATTCTGGGGTTGTTTCCGATCGAGAAGCGAATAAATTGAGCGTCCGGCCCAAGTGCAACCCAGCCTAGCTACTGACTAAAATGATGTGCTGTTGAATGGATGTGTATCAGCGCCATGTCTACCAAAAGCTCCGCCTTGTCGCATAAAAGTTGGTCCATACTTCCACGTTGCCAGCTGTGACAGCTACCGAGAGAGGCGTCTCGCCAGTGCCACTCTTCTCATTCAACTGGCAGATTCATGAACGGGCCATAGTGGATATTACACACTCATTATCAAGCGCTCAAACCCCCGATCAAGAAACTTGGCGACAGTGTGCACTTCATGGATCGAGTGGCGTTGACCAAAGTAATGTGTTGTTTTCCTCGGCAGACGGGCCGTGGATCGGCGCCATGGTCAATCAAAAGTTCTGAATCTGATCGGATCAGATCCACATATCCGCCTGCAAAAACCGCGGAAGAAGTGCTCGCGTTTCTCAACCCATATGAGTTGTCTGGGTTGATGGATGCCTTTCGAGACACCGCAAGTAAGGCAGAATCAAGAAGAACTTCATTGCTAATGCTCATCATCAGCTATGGCCACGGTTGCATGCTCCAATATGCTCTCTTTCACCTCTTCAGTTATAATGTTACCATCCTTGTCGTAAAACTGTTGGCTAATGGCTGCTGGTATGACAGGATCAGTTCTGTCTGATATAGTCTCACAATATTTCCTTGTATATATCTAATAATAAAATTAATTTAAATCATACTCCCTAGTCCTAGTACCTGGAACCTTTTAAGAATTATAAGAAGATATAAAAGACGCCTTAACCACTCGGCCACCTTGCCTGTTGTTGAAATATCAGAAATTGTTGTCTCTTATTACTATAAAAGAGAAAATGCTTCCCCTCCACTAGAAGGGTTGAATTTAACCTGAACTTGTTGTATATACGACATGGAGGGTAGGACTGATCATTTGTATGTGACCTTGATTCAGGACGTCATCAATGGTATCTCCGGACTCTAACCTGCAGGTAATTGATCCATTAGAGATGAGACATGACTGCACTCATACTAAGAACTGGCGCAAGTTCCGGTTAAAAATTCACTCCTTCTGCAAAGTAGTGGAGGCAAATTCTATTTTTAGTCAAAATAATTTAACCGAAATTCAGTATTTCAAGCACCGGCAAGGTGGCGGAGTGGTCAACGCGTTCGACTCGAATCGCAATCAAATTCCTTAGGGAGCGTCATCGAATCTGGCCCTTGTCGTTTTTTTGGTTTAGTTTCCGATAATTGTCCTTATTAACTTCGGTCGTAGTGTTGTACTCAACAACAGGCAAGGTGGCCGAGTGGTTCAAGGCGTCAGACTGTTAGTTATGCCCATCCTTATCTTCCATAAATGTACTAACCTCCTCAACGTGAATTGTTGTCTCTGACTACAATACATCTGATCCCCTAGGGGTCGTCGGTTCGAATCCGGCCCTTGTCGAATATCAAATATTCACCTCCTTTCTTTTTTTTAGCTTCGCCTGCTTCTGCTGGATGTTAATTAATATAATAATAATAATAATAGTAACAACAACTGGGCTAGTGTTGAGGTAACTTAATTAAAGTAGATTAGTAGATTATTACTAACCTCTAAGAGGTTAATATTCACAAGTTGTAAGTAGTTATGATGAATTATTTGCCTATTTACATCCCTTTGTAAAGGGAGACCTCTGTGGTAAGAATATATCCTGGAATTCTTACCACTGATCACCCATTCTAAAAGACCTGTCATAATGATAAGCACTAGTAGAAAATTTAGAGGTAACATTCACTGCTTTAATCCCCATCTCCCTCTCTCTTCTTCTTTGATTGAACAATTTTTCCCCTTAACACTATCGTCCAATCCTTATTCTATTACAGAATATTGATACTGGACTCTCAGCCAGCACCTGCTTCTTCTGGTCAAGTATTATATCTGCTGATATGTCACCGTACTCTCATTTCTACTAATGCAAAACATTGTCTAGACACTCTTTTAGCTCAGTCGTTGAATGCATTCGACATATCCACTTTTGAATCTCGTGGTTTCGATGACTGGCTAAGAACTTAGGTGAAAGCCTAATCCGCAACAGCAGAGCCAAATTACAATAATCATGAAGGCGCCTGAGACCCTTATTTCCGGCGGCGTCGGGGCTGAACTGGAGGATCCTCGCCGCCAGGAGCTAATTGACAGGCTGGACCGAGCGCGAAGGGCACGTTTGGCGAAGAACCCCTCAGTGCAGACTGCGCTCAGGGAGTTTGGGCCGCCTTGTGGCTCTGTCCCGTTGACAGGCCAGAAGAGTACGTCGGCAGAGTGAGATCAGCCCGGCTAGTCTAGCTGGGGATTCACTGTACACGACAGTTGTCTGCAATGACATAATCAAGCCATGTATGTTCAATCTGTACGGAACTATGCATTTCCGAGATACTCAACAATCTGTAGGGTTAACAGCTGCAGCCGGTGCCGACTCCGTATTATCTATGTCAGCTGACGAAGAAGTACGTGTATGACTGCAACATGTATTTACAGATGGCTGACTTGATTCTACCGCAGGCTCTCTAAGTCCCTCTCGGGTCCTATATGCGGCAGGTTTTGGACTGCACTCGCGATGTTCTGGCCGGAAAGTGTCATTGAAGATTGGAAAAGAGACGTCTCGGAGGCATGTTACACTGAGCACTGTGCCAACCGAATCACCCTATCTCCTAATACATATGCATTCTGGGTGAGATGCCTCTTCGTGTTGAAGAGTTGCTCTCAGCCAGGATCAGAACTGCCTTGAGCTCGAGTTTCACTGGCTACGTCCACTGTCTCGGTCTGCCACAGTCCTGCTAACCAATAAACCATCCCTGACGGAGTGCCTGGTGGCAGCATTGGAGATACTTGTCTCTTTGACCCCAGCACAAATAGCGGATTGTGTCAGGCCGTAAGATATGGCTGGAAACGGACGACCCTGTCAATCGGCCCTTTGCAAGCGTCAGGTTGCTGCAGCTCCACTGGACTATGCAAAGACTGGCAGCACTCAGTGGTGCTGCAGAGATTTATGATGAGTTGAATCACATAGATGACTATTAAATTGTCGACATGGTGAGACTATGATTCTACAGACGATTATTGGGAGGTTGGCGAGATTTTTGACGACATTGTATGTTTTTCATGAGCCATCCCTCTCTGGTTTGATACTAACATGGATAAAAGGTCCTGATCCACCAATTTTGAATTTGCCATCAGGACGTCGTCATGGCAATTTGGAGCCGTTGAGGACAGATTATCGGAGGGAATCGTACTCTGGCAATTACAGTGGAAGAGCCTGTTAGTTTCTGATGGATCATCCTGTCACTGAGACTGGAGTATAGGTGCTGGCCTCTATCGAAGAGGAACTCAATGACACCGTCACGCGCATTGACGATTGCCAGCCAAATGCCAAAGATGCCTGTAGAAACAGGCAAAGAATGGCTTGAAGGTTAAGGGTTTCCCAGACCAGCGCATTGAAATCACTATATGCCATCCAAGCTGCCTAGCCTCTAGACATACATCGAGGATAGTTCAAAGATCGCCCGAGGTTGCATCCTCGATTGGATTGGCCCAAATACTCTGGATGCTGCTGACATGCTCCAGATCAGTGGTCAAGAACATGCCAAAGGCCTCGTCAACGTAGGTGCCGTCTTCCGTGTGGTTAGCTTTCTCCACACTGCGGAAGAGGCCGTGGGCGATCGGAACCTTCATATGCTCTTCATCTTGCACGGGAAGGTTGTATAGGTAGTCGGTCTCAGAGCTTTTGCTTATCGGCGTATCGGATTCCTTAGAAACAGGGACAAGTTGGACTGACTTGCCGACGGTGTTGCTGGGCGCATATAGATTATTAAGGCACCCATTCATGTTCTGAATAGTTCCGACAACATGGCCGGTGCAATCATCATTCGGGTAAACATTGACCGAGTATTGGTCATCATGGACATTGTCAATTTTAGTGAGAAGCGACAAGGCAACACCCTCGTTTAGCTTGTTACATGCACTAGATCCTGCAAGCTGGTGAATTCCAACTTTAGCGCCTGACCAGCTTTTAGAGGCTCCATGCTGCAAGCGCATGGTGCGCTTCTACTCGGTTATTTCTCGGTTCTTCTGATATTAACCCATACTGTTCGATGGGTCCTGGGCTGTGGTCATAACGCTAGGCCATGCCATATGGTTACATCGCTTGTTCTCGCATCCTTGCTAGGCGTCCTAGAGCAGTAGCCTAGCGGCTCCGCAAGGTCCATTGGAGCGAGAACGAGCGGGGCGTCGGATCGAGTGGTATCTCCGGTGCTATGAAAGGGGCAGTGCGTCAGGCTGAAAGCCAAGGCGCAGTTGTTGTTGGGGGCCGGAGTGAAGAAGGGGTACCTGTCATACCTACAGGCTACATGCTGCCTGAGCACGTATCCCCATACCATGTGCCAAGCTGTATTAGATCGGGGGGTCCACCAACCTTTTAGCCGATTGGTCCAAACATTAATACAAAAGATAAAATATATAGATTACCACACTAGATAAGCCACTATTATAAAGATGTCCAATCAACTTAGGAGCATGCTCCATAACTTGGAGGAGCCGCAATCTAATTCATCCTGGCATCAGGTGAGAGGATTACAATCCCTGCAACAGGGCGCTATGTAGCCGAGGCTAAACAGAGTACATGGCCCTAAATTTTCGATGGTTTAGGCAATGTCAATACTGCTTTCAATTCAGCCCCAGGGATAGTGCATGTCATTTAGGATCCTACGCAATTTGGCTACGATACGATCCTTCTACTGGAAGACTATATATAGGGGTCAGGCCCTACTGTAGATAGCTTCCTTCTGTAACGCTTCCATACTTCAATACTGGTCCAGTCCACAGTCTTCCTGATATCTTGACTCGTTCTCTGCTACTAAACCTATTTATCCAGCCGCAGTTTTAGTAAGTAGATCCTATTATCTGCTCAACTTGATAAGAAATACTTACTCACAGGTCTAAAAGGCTCAATATGCGTGCAATTCTCAACTCAAGTACAGTTCTGCTTGCTCTCTCGTATCTCGGTCTCGTCCAGGCCGATGTCCCCCGCTTGGTGGACACTGCAGCTTCTGATGGCACAGGCTATTGCGGAGATGCCAGCTTTATCAACCAGTCCTCGGGCGGCTCGCCGTTGGTTTCCGACTGTGAGGCGCTGCGCCAGCAAATTCGCGACAAACACCTCGCATATGCATTTGCAGGCTACGGGAACAATCACTGGGTCCCTTTCGACAGCCACGGGAGCTGCGTCATTGGTTTCTCCTGCCAAGGCCCGTATGGCGTGTACTGGTGTGAAGTCGATTCCAGGGATGCCGCGGATCTAATTACCTCGAGCATCGACAAGTTCCGTTGGGACGGCAAGGTCGGTGCGAAGGGCCAAATGCCGTGCGACTCTAGGGATGGAGCGCGGCGTACGACTTATTGGGCTATATACCATACTTGATACTTTCCAAGGCGCAATTCGAATGTAGGGTTGTGTCACGCGTTAGACCCGGTTCTCACTATGGCCTTGCCATATAGCATTCTGCCACCGACTACCTACCCCTATTTCTACCAGTCTAGCTTGCTTCGCTCCTTCTCTTCTTCAAGCTTTGTGTAAACAGCATGTTGGCCTAGTCAGTATTGAATCAATTTGGCTTCTGCCCTTCACAGGTTGGAGAGTAAACGTAGACCTGTAGATATTAAATCAGATGAAATATCGATCCGACAGAAGCGATGAACGCATGCAAAGGCTCTATGTTCAAGATTTATCTGGTGTGGAGGGTCCGCAAGTCGAGTATCAAGAAAGAATCAAGCGTCAAGACGTACTGGAAGGTCCTCGAGCTGGTATACTCGCAGACAACGGGCGGCTAGTTGACCGAGGGTATCCTACGCGAGGTTCGCAATATAAGTGGCACGTTTGAGCCTTGCACGATGGCTGACGCGCGCAGTGGATCCCGGCCTACTTTTCTCCCACCTACTCTTTGGATACCTCGAAGAAGGAGAAGGCCGGCATCTTTGTCGGGGACCTCGCCGTGCTCCTGAATTATTACTGGATTCGCAACTAGGAGCTATTTGCCTACGAGCGGCTGCGTATATAGCTTGCGGCGCACCTTACCTATCCTTGCTAGTGCCACCACGACAAGATTAGGAGCCCTTATCGGCTAATTGCTTTAACAGTTGATGTTAGACCATATCTTCTGCCCTCAACTGTAGAGTCGGCATACTCCCATCCAGTATCCGACAGTGCTGGGATTGAGTAGCTTTCACCTTTATTTCTGTTATTATCATTTGAAAATTCTCCACGACCTCTGCTGCAATCATATGGGAGCCAAACAAACAGTCAAAGATGTCACGCTAAAATCCTAGTGATGTCAAGTAGTTCTGGGGGGGCGGATAATGTCCACACATAGTGTCGAGAAATAAATGTCTCCGGTTGTTTTTATGATTAACAATATCTGGTAATTTACACCGCATTCTTTTAGGTACTTCGCAGTAACTGGAAAATTCTGGTGTATTGCGTAGGTTTCTTGCGGTTGAGAAGGAGCGAATTTCTTCAACAAGGCACCATGCACTGACTTTGGCCCTCTTAGCATCGGTGTCATAGTGTTCTATAGGATGAAGCCAATGTGTTAATGCTTTGATTACAGTAAAGTCAGGATCTGGATCTGGGAACTATGAAACCTAAGGTCCAGAGCCAGCAACGCCTAATAAGATTGGTTGTTCTTTAGGGGACCCTTCAACAAAGGGCTTCTTCTTACCACGTGACTGGCGAGGAGCAGTCTGGCTGAGCATATGAAAATCTCACATAGCTGTAAGAAATAGTATGAGGTAACCAAGCTCCTTGCGCAGACTGGTCCTTCCTTGAACAAACTAAAATTTGCTGTCCCCATTTCAAATCTTGATTGTGCCTTGCATTTGCCTATTATCAGTTGTTGTGTCCCTGCTGTGTTGCCCCTACTACTACTATCCCTACTAGCTAGAGATGGTTGTCTGGACGCCTTTTTGGCTGAGTGGTTGGATATGACATCAGTAAAGCAATGGTAGAATGACTGCCAGAAGGAGACCTTATAGTTTGGCGGCAGTAGAGGCCGCAGTGATTTCACACATGCCTCTATATAGATTATGTCTTGAAAGAAGGTGAAAAAGGATAGGATTTAGTCCCACACCTAAAGTAGATAAGGAAGAATTTGTCCTAAAACTGTTGATCTATTAACAGCAGAAAATATCTCACCTTTAGCTGCAAGCACTTCAATCACGGCCTGGTACAGTGTTGAATCTGGTGTGAGTGTTTCTAATACTTTCACAGTGTTGCTATCCAGAAGGTTGAACAGCTATGGGTTATGGCAAATAAATCTCTAAGTTTTATTAATGCGCCAAATGTAATGCTCCAGTTGCGAAGTTCCTGTCAGCGCAAAATGAATTATTGAATATAATAGGATGATACCTCTGGGCACTTGATACGCAATAATTGGGAGAGTGATCGGAGCATGAAGCCGTCCCACAGCCCCATAAATGGAATATTTTTGTTAAATACATACTGCAGGCCCTTATGCAAGTTGTTACCCAGACGAGAGAGATTCTTGGCCTTCTCAGTACTTAATCAGCTTTCTGCTTATTTACCTGTGCACTATTGCGTATTCCCTCGTACCACCTAATTCTCTGATAGATATCACCATCAGTGAATGCTAGTTGATGTGGGTAATCCTCGCGAATGGTTTGTTGGGTTATTTCTAGAGGTTCTAAGGTTTCTCAGCCATATAACTATAATGATATGATTGCGATGCAGCATTCCGTACCTATAGTATAGAGAACCACCATCTACCATTGTTCAGTGGGGTCAAGGAATCGCTCGGCAGCGCGTAGCCGGTGCTTCCATGTAAGACACGAATCCGAGTACCTCCGCGGAAAAGGAGGGGGATTGGCTCTCCATCCTGTATTAGGTCAAGGATCCGCAGCTGAGAGTAGACAAGGGCATCGCGGAGGTCGTCAGGAGAGATGATCGCCAGGACATAGTGATTGGGATCATGAACTCGAGCACATCCCTCCACGCGAAATATCTCTACCAGGTGGTTGACGTGTTTGTCGTTAACCTCGCCTCGCAATGAAATGCCGTGATAGTGGAGATGGTTTAGTGACACCTTCGCTTGGCCACAAGAACAGAGCCGCTTGTCTCGGAGAATCCTCTCATACGTGGCCCCGCAGGGCCCATTACTCCTAGCATCTGCATTAACATTGGTGACTAGGTAGCTTCCAACTGACTCACCTCATTCGGATTGGCTGGTGGGAACAGATTGTCGTCAGAGCTACCTATACACAAGAGACGCCATATACCAACGAATCCCTGAGGCTAGTCTGTGGGACCAACGCAAGAAAAGAATTACTGAGGATAATGTAAGATATAGGTTCTAGCGAGCGTAGTGGCGAATACTTAACAGCAGCAGGGCAGCAAGGGAGACTCCTAGCTAAGTATGGTCTGTACGCTTAAGCTGTCAGAGCTTAGACGTAATATAACTACCGGGCTATGTAAGAGTCAACGGTCAGTAAGTTCAAGGCAGGCAATGTTGGAAGCCAACTCCTCAAGATATTGGTCTCCACCCATCCATAAAGCTGCCTGAAACCACCAACTATCTTTTCCAAACTGCATTACTATTATAAACTCCCAGTATTCAGGATAGTAGCCTGCAGACTCCCGATCCAGGACACCGGATAAATGCCCTTCCTCGTCGACAAGGATATTATGAGCCTTGAAGTCGCCGTGGGTAAACATTATCTAATAGGGACATTGTTGAATCTTCTTCGCATATAACAGTGCTTCTTCATACTCTGCAGTTGAATTGAAGTCACATACATGTATCATTCCTTATTACCATCTAGTACATACGACCACAGGGTGTGGAAAACAGGGCTTCCCGTCCGCTCAGCCGTACTTAAGCCACACGCCGGCCGGTTAGTAGTTGGGTGGGTGACCACCAGCGAATCCCGGCTGTTGTATGTTTTTGATTTATTTTTTTCTGTCTACGTTTTTACTGATTCTCTTGTGAGACTCCGGAGGAGGGTAGGCACACTGCAGTGGTGCCCAATGGTGGACCCGTCAATAGGCGAATCGCCTCCGGGTAGTGTCATGGTGGAGTAGTGATTGCTCCTTAGACCTCTCAATCACCACCTCTGGGGGTTCCCACAGGGACTGCTGATAGGTAATGTGGGATACAATCCAATGGGTATTGATTATCTGTCGATGCTATATGATTGGAGATCCTTTTGGAACATCATTATCAGTGGGAGGCATGCTGGAAAGCCACGCGTCCACCATTTCCACGAAATCCAGCTTATACAATGATTCCAAGTCGAGGGGCGCGTCCTCTGCTTCCTTTTCTTCCCCCAGACTTGGCATCCTCCGTCTATCCATATGCGCGTTTAGTGCAAGCACCTTATCTATCCACTCCTGTCGTCTTTCCTGCCAAATCTTCAGTGACTGCTCAAGTGAATCCTTGTCAGACCGTCCAAGAATCAATGAATACGTAAAAACATCCTCAAACGCCTGATTAACACCCTGACCAGCAGCCGGGGGAATCGCATGCGCGGCATCACCCACAATTACCACGCGGCAATGTTTTGATGTCCATGTTTCAAGCCTAGGCACGATAGAGAGCGGCCATAGAAAGACCTTCTCCTGGGCTATATCTGAGACAGCCCGCTGGACAATTGCAGGGAAGTCATCTGCACCCTGGCGGAGGAAACCTATGCACCATTCCTTATTATTCAGAAGCTCGTCCCACCCCTCTCGGGTCAGCTGCTCCGAGTGCTTCTGCCGGCCGACCATCACCTCAGAGCCGTCTCCCAACTGCGGAGCGATGAAGACTGCCCCGTGTTGTCTGTTCATTATCGTCACTGGGAGGTTGTAGCTGGTCGGGACCTGTAGCTGGCTCGGTGGCACTGCGGCCGTCACAATGACCATCTTTGTAAAGGCTAGCTCGAGGTCAGGATAGAGGTATTTGCGGACTCTGGAATGGATGCCGTCAGCACCCACAACGCAGGTTGCTGTTGCTGTGGAGCCATCACTAAATTCCCATGTAATATCTTTCTCTGTCTCTGCAAGCACCCGGACGAATTTCTTGTGATACTCAATGGGGATGCCAGCTTCGCGAACCATAGCGGACAGTTCCCGGATAAGAACGCGACGGTAAATACGCATGGCGCGGTAGCCATATTGTTCAATCCCACCAAAATCATATGTATCCATGGGCTGGTCGTCCGGGGAGCGGAAGTAGAGCTTGTCAAACTCATAGCCTTGTGCTCGGATGCGCTTGTACACACCCAGAGAGTCGAGGATCCTCAGGCCGTTGGGACACAGCATAATGGCGCCGCCAATGTCGAGTGCGGACGCGCGAGCCTCGTAGAGAGTGCAGGCAATGGATTGCTTGTGCAGGGCCAGAGCAAGAGTTAGACCTGAAAGACCGGCGCCGATAATCGCCACTCTGTCAATACTGGACATGACGGTGCAGAGGTAGAGATATGCCGAGAGTGACAGTTATGGGGTGAGATATCTTGTAATGAGGAATAATTTTGTGTCCTGCTCTCGAAAAACCAAGTAGACTAGATTTGGGCAGCCAGCGTCCTAAACGACACTGAACGTTGTTGATGTACTTGGACAATTAAATTTCTCACCACTTCCTCTGTCATCTGATTGCTCAACTTATTAGCACGAGATATATAAATTATCCTAAGTCAACAGGAGCTATTCAATGGACAGGCTGAAATTATAAAGCAATGTAGGTGGTGCGGGCTGTTCAACCCCTCAGGTTCGCAGACTCAGCTTACATACAGATCCTCCCCTCACTGTTTATCTCAAATTATTCAGTGAGGCTTTGCTTTCAACCTAATTATACCGCAAGATTCTTAACGGCGAACACAATGAATATAACCTCAGACTAAGTAAGGTCCCTTTCCTGCAACAGACTGCTCATTTAAGTGATTGACCCCCATGCTTTCACAAGTGGTTAGTGGTTACATCATAACAATTAGACGCTACATCAAGTCTAACTTTAAAGTATAGGAGTTTTTAATA